ATACACAAATGAATAAACTGGAGGGGGGGGAACCAGTGCAGAGGGAACAAATGCAACTGCAAAGTCACCCTTTAAGGCCTGACTCCTCGGATTCTCCGGTGTAAGCTGTCAGTGGAGAAAGCTCCAGAGACAGGCATTGCTGAAAAGGCCTCACCAGCAAGGGGAGAATCAGCAAAGGTCACTGGAACACCCAGGATTTCAGGTCAGTTTCCCAGTGGACCCTTCAAAACACCCCAATGGGTTTTTGATACGACTGACAACCTTGCCTCCTTTTTTTTGTGGGGAGAAGGCAAAGCTGCATACCACCAAAGGGAGACTTCCATCCAAGAAAGGAAATGTTAAGGGTATGCGCGTCAAAAAAAAAAAATGCCATAATTTGGGACCTGGATTTCAGGTAGGGGCACTATTTTCAAAAGTAATGTTACTGGCATAGGATTTCCCCCCGGGGTGTCTTTCCCGGACCCCCAAATTTGGGACCACTATTTTTGTCATTACCCCCTGCCACAGAGGCAAAAGAAGTGGGGAGAGAAAGAGAGGAATGCAGGCCCAGATGTCCCACACTGGCATTTTCTCTGCCGGAGGCTTCCCAGCTCCAGAGGGTTCAGAGGTGGCACAGCCCGCCCCACAGCAGTCAGCAGCTTGGGCCAGCTTCCACTCTTTCTTTCCTCATTCCTCTACCTCCCCAGAACCTTGAAACACTCCAAAAATTTCAGGAGATAAATTTTCATTACTCCTAGAATTCCGGGAGTGTTTTGGTTCATTTGGGGTGTCCTGGAGCTGACCAGAAACAGCTTATTTTGGTCATAATTTCAGGAAACTCTCAGTGACTCTGCTGCCTTTGAGCTGTGTGCATCATAAAAGGTAAAGGTAAACGTTTCCCTTGCTCAAAAGCCAATCAAATCCAACTCTAGGGGTGGTGCTCATCTCCATTTCCAAGCTGAAGAGCCAGCGTTGTTTGAAGATTTTTCTGTGGTCATGCAGCCAGCAGGACTAAATGCCAAGGCGCATGGAACGCTGTTACCTTTCCACCAAAGTGGTACCTGTTTATCTACTTGCAATTTCTTGCTTTTGAACTGCTAGGTTGGCAGGAGCTGGGGCCTGAGACGGGAGCTCACTCCGTCACGTGGCACTAGGGGCTTGAACTGCTGAACTACTGAACTACTGACCTTCCGGTCTGGACACAGGACTCCAGGTGAGGCCTGACCATAGCAGAATAGAGCGGAACGACCACCTCCCGTGATCTGGACACTATGCTTCTTTTGTTAATGCATCCTAAGATTGCATTCGCTTTCTTTGCAGCCACATCGCACCGCAGGCTCATGTTTAGCTTGTGATCAACCAGAACACCCAGATCCCTTTCACATGTGCTGCTGTCAAGCCAAGTCCCTCCCATTCTATATCTGTGCCTTACGAAGGCACAGTAGCACCTGTCGGCATATAAACATGTCAGAGGAAATGTCAGAACTCACATTCAGAAATCACATTCATCTTTCCCTTGTCCTACAAATCCTATCTAGATTCTCCGACATTTGATGACCAGCATCTCCTAAGGATAATAGCTCCTCTGTCCTGCTACCTGATCAACAGTTTTAGAGATCGCTCAGACAGGACCTTGAAAATTTGGTCGTGGGTTCCCCTGCTGGATTCCAGAGCAGTTCCTGAAGGTGGCATTTCGCTCCCTCCCTTTCTGGCATTCTGCAAAGGAACTGGGAAAGTGCTACGTGTGACTCATCATGGCCCCACTCACCCCCGCCAACGTCAGCAACCCCGCACTCGGCCTGAGCGGCTTCCCAGGGCTGGAGATGGTTCACCACTGGATCGGCATCCCCATCTTTTCCATCTACCTGGTGGCAGTGCTGGGCAACTGCACCATCCTGTACGTCATCTGGACGGAGCCCAGCCTGCACCAGCCCATGTACTATTTCCTGGCCATGCTGGCCACCACCGACCTGGGACTCTGCCTCACCACCGTGCCCACCGTCATGGGAGTCCTCTGGTTCCAGCTGAGGAAGATTGGTGTGCGCCTGTGCATTTCTCAAGCCTTCATCTTCCATTCCTTCTCCTTCATGGAGTCCGCTGTGCTCTTTGCCATGTCTTTGGACCGCTTCCTGGCCATCTGCTTCCCTCTGAGATATACTCTTCTGCTGACCTCCAACAGGGTGGCTACAGTTGGGCTGGTCCTTCTGCTGAGAAGCACGCTACTCCTCATTCCCGTTATCCCTTTTCTTCTACAGTTCCCCTACTGCCAGGGTGCAACACTTTCTAACTCCTACTGTCTCCATCAGGACCTGATCCGCTTGGCATGCGCCAACACAGCCTTCAACAGCCTTTATGCTCTCACCCTCATCTTCCTCACCATGGGCTCTGACCTCCTCTTCATCCTCCTCTCCTACAGCCTGATCCTGAAGGCAGTCCTGGGCATGACCTCTGGGGACGAAGGCCACCGCAAGGTCCTGGGCACCTGCGTCTCCCACGTCTGTGCCGTCCTGGTCTTCTACGTCCCGGTGCTCGGGCTCTCTGTGGTGCACCGGTTTGGCCGGCACGCCTCTCCCCTTCTCCACATCATCATGGGCAATTTCTACATTCTTTTGCCACCCCTGATGAACCCCATCATCTATAGCATCAAAACCAAGCAGATCTACAGGAGGATCCTCAGAATAGTCTCAATCAAAATCCCCTAAGAATCAGCATCACAAACAACTTGGCAACGTCATGGTGGGGTGAGTATAAGATGCACTAAGGCAGCTGCCTTTAAAAAAGTTCAAGAAACATCTGCAGACTCAAAATATAGTTGCTTGAATGGTAACCACTATTCTGGATGACTCTGGTCAGACCTGATTCAAATAAAGGCGTGTGTTCAGAAAGCCCTAAGTGTCATTACCTTTTCTGTATCAGATATTCGTCTCCTGGCAAGAGGTATACCTCAACAAGATTTTTAGTCCATTTTGTGTATAGTTCACAAGAAAGAAATATTAATAGAAAATCCTTGATTCCATTTAATATTTTAGTTAAAAAAACTATTTGTATCTTTCACGTTAACTGCCTTCAAGTAATCTCAAACACTGTGGCTCCGTCTTGACTGCCACCATTACCACCTGGCACTAACAAAGGGTCAGGAAGCCCAAACAAAGCCCCAATGTAACAGGTGACTGATAGGATGTTGTGGTAAAGTGTAAATAGCCTAGCTTAGAATAACAACAGACAGGGTATGTCTAGGGGAGGGGCAGAGGACTGTGTTTTATTTATTTACTTATTTACAACATTTAAGTGTGTATGCACCTTTTCTTTGTATACTTGCTTGATCCTTACTGTGCAGACTGTTAGTATGGCCATTTTCTTTTACAATAAATTTCTTATTGCTTTGAGTGTTGAATTTTTTTCTCCATAACCACATTAAGCCCCATATGAACATGGCACCAGTGGAAGGGAGGCAGTTGGTCAATAGATCGCTAGATCCCCACAGTAGCAAATGCAGTAAGCTGCTCCTTCTGTAACTAATTGGACATGTAACTAGAGATGTGGTCACTAGGAAGAGGCTCTTCTGCTTTCTGATTTTTATCACTTATGTGTTCCTATGGATTCAGGGTTCCCCCCACCCCCCCAATATGTTTAGCTCTCTATAGTAGTCCAAGAGGGAGCAAAACACATGTAGAAAAGGAGGGGGGACCCAAAGCAATAGGGACAAACGAGTGACAAAAATGAGAATGCGGAAGCTTTCCCTCTTTTCCGATTCCTCCCCCCAACTCCTTGCTTGGTCTTCCTAGCAAACAAACTGGGAGTTTAACCCTTGCAGTGCTGGAGAGGAAGGAAAAATGTTTCCCGTCCTCTCCAGGAAGGAGCTTCAGCAAGGCATGAAGCCCCTATGCAACCCAGTGGGGCTACTCTGGAGTAAATGCACGGGCCTCACTCCCAGAATCTCTCCAGTGCTGTTCAGCCACCTCAGAAAAAGGATTCACGCCACCTTCTCCTGTATTGCAGATCACAAGGCAGCATCACAGATTTGTGTCTCCTTAACATCCAACAGAGTCTTACAAAACAGAAAAAGAGGCTCAGAGCTGGCCCCGGGAGATGGAGAGTTGGAGGAGAAGGGCCCCGATGCCAGCAGCCCTTTTAAAGACCCACATACATTCAGTGTAAGCTTTCCTGGGCAAGCTACAAGCATGCTTCCTACCTTGCTTTTTCTGTGCGTGTGTGCGCACAGGAAAAGCAGGGAAGCCAGTCTCCACAAGCAGCCCGCTCCAGCTCCTCTTCAGGCTAGTTTAGCTTCCAGAAGGAAGGAAGCCCCCACCGCCCTGACTTGTTCCCTCCCACCCAATCCAGCCGAACAGTCACAGAAAGCGGAAGGGGGGGAACCCTCCACTTTCAAAATGGGGTGGTGGGGGGACAGGGGGGGTAGCAAGGCCCGGGGGGCTCAATACGTTCAGGAGGGGCGAAAGCTCCTCAGCCCCCACGAAGATTACGCCGGTGCATTCTAGTACCCTGGGGCAACACCATAATGACTCCAACCTCACTGCGGAATGGCTATAAAACTATGCAGAAACTCCAAAAAGACCCGAGACACAAGGGAAGTGAAAGCGAGATGCAATGCAGAGGGAAATTAACGTTCCGACGTGGCTACGGAAGAACAGGAGGGAAACAGACGGGTGCAAAAAGAGCCATCGTTCGGTTGCACATGAAAGAGAGTCGCATGTAATCTGGCCCTTCCACAGTAGGAAAAAGGCCCTGACAAGGGTAGGCCTTTAGGAATCCATGGGTAGGCCTAAGGGTCTTCCATTCCCACAGGGACAGGCAATGGGTCCATCTCACACTTTATGGCCGGTGTGATCACAGGCAAAGTAGACAGCAAAGTAGACAACTAGTCAGGCAAGGCGGGATATAATTAGAAATACATAAATAAATAAATAAATAAATAAATAAAT